GTATTTATTTATTTATTAAATATATTTTATTAATTAAATATAATAAAATCACAATTATATAATTAATGGTCACGTGTATATAATCATATGCAACAACTTATTTATTGATCACATATTAAATAATTAATTGGTCACAGATTAATTTGATATCACAAGTCAAAAATTTTATAGGTCACATTCTATTGGTCACAAATAAAAGAATTATATGTCACAATTTATCAATCAGACACATATTTTAAATTTGTTGGTCACAAATTATCAAATTTTAAGATCATTTTATTTTCTTGGTCACATACAAAAAAATATAGGTCACAATTTATCAATCAGTCACGTATTTTCAAATTTGTTGGTCACAAATTATCGAATTTTAAGGTTACTGTTAAACAGTTGGTCATAGGTAACCAAATAGTGGGTCACATACGACCATCACCTACACTTCCGTCGCCGCCACTGCCTACACAGCACCACCACCACCACCACGACATCACCACCAACAAAATCGCGCCACTAGACCTAATCGACCGCTAACAAAAACCATGACAATCAACTCTATCAAATCTCCAACCACCAACAACCACCACCCCGTCGCCGCCACCAGATCCAACGCCAACCCCATAATCGTCGCCATCACCACAACAGCACCACCACCAACACCAACACCACAACATCACCACCAACAAAACCGTCACCACCACATCCAACAAAAAAATCCTAAATCCACCACTACCTCCATCCCCGTCGCCACCACGAGATCCACAACCATCCCCGTCGCCAACAACAAAAACATCACCACACCACAACCACCACCCACTACTGCCTCCAACCCCGTTGTCGCCACGAGCTAAGCCACCACTTAACCAAAAAAATCATCAAGTCCACCACCACACAAACACCATCTCATCTCCACACAAAACACCATCCAACGATCAAAACCAAAAAAAAAAAAATCAAGCGGAGCTACGGGTAGCAAAGTTCACAGCGTCGCCATCTCCAAGTTGTACCACCACCGCTACCGCGCAAACCATGGGCCACAGAAAATTGTCGGAGAAACGCCACAAATCAGAGAAGATCTTAGATCGCCCCCCTGCACTTTCACGTGTAGAGGCTCGATCTCTTCATTAAGCAGCGCGGTGCTGCTTAAGTGGTTCGGCACGGTTCCCACGAAAGGTGTTTCGACGAGGACGATGACGACGTCTGACGGAGAGGAGGGCATGAGAAGGAGATGAAGAAGATGGGGAGGGAGGGAGAGTGAGAAGAATGAAATAAA